AATAGAAATGTAAGGCAAAAAAATTGTGTATAGCTATAGAAAAATATTATAAATACCTTTTTCCCTGTGTTTTCAGCTGCATATAGAGCTGGGGGAGGAGAAACAGCAGCACACTAATCTTTCCAGTGAAAGGCTGTAAGACCTAGAGTGGTCAGTTTTTAATAGGAAAGCAGAGGGACTAGCAGGAACACCAGGGATTTCACACAAAGGAAGCAATACAAAGAGAACAGGATCCTTTTTCATATAAGTACATGGTACAGCAGGCACATATCAGGAATATGAAATGTTGGGTTTACATCAGAGTCGTCCCTAGAACTTTCAGGGCCCTGGTGCAAGAAACAATGAAGGCCCCCCCTGACCCCCCACTTCATTCTGAGCCCGGGGCCCTTTAATTTAATCGCGGTCCATTTCACATGTTGTGCAGCTTCCCCCTTGCTGCCATCTTGGGTAGGATTGCCACCTTTTCTTCAGGCCAAACCCGAACACTTTTTTTTGTTGTATACACTATACATATATTTTGTGAATTAATAACATTTCTAATCATATGGATTTAATCACAAGAGTCTCCCCTTACATCTGAATCCACAGAGTTCCTCTTACATCTACACTCGCAAAGTTCCCGTACACTGTAAGGGTTTACTCTGCAGACTCTGATGTATAGGGAGAACTCTGGGGACTCTTATTTAAGGGGGAACACTGAGAACTCTGATGTAAGTAAGAAACTCTGATGTAAAAGGAAACGCTGAAGAGTCTGGTGTAAGGGGAATTCTGATATAGGGTGGTCTCTGGTAAGCAGAGCCCCCACTTACATCAAAGTTCCCAGAATTCCCCTTTAATAAGGGTTCCTACAGCACCCCTTACATCAGAGTCCAAAGAGCCCCCCATCATCAGAGTCCAAAGTGCCCCTCACAATCAGAATCTGCAGAACCTCCCACCATCAGAGTCCGCAGATCCCCCCTACATCAGAGCCAGCAGTGCCCACCTACATCAGAGTCCGCAGAGCCCCTCTGCATCAGAGTCCTCAGAGCCCCCCTACATCAGAATACACTCTGCAAAGTAAACTTGATTTAAGGGGGGCTCTGATGTAATGGGGAATGCTGTGAACTCTGGTGTAAAGGGGAACGCTCTGCTCATCAAAGCCCTCCTTACATCACAGTCCACAGAGCACCCTTTGCATGATTACATGATTGTACTGGGAGGCAGGAGACACTGCCAGGGAGTGTGGGTGGGAAGTGGACAGGGGTAGATACAGGAGGAGAGGGCCGTGCGTGTCCGTGCGGTGGGGAGAGAGGCGGGGGGAACTGTCATTTCTGGCTCTGGACTGCCTGTGAGAGAAACTCTCATTTCAGAGCCCTGCAGCCAGCAACACCTCTGGGGAGACACAGTGTGGTCTCTTGGGCTCCCCCACAGTGGTAGAACTCCAGGGCCCGGTCGCAAGTGCGACCTTTGCGACCCTGGTAGTTCCGCCGCTGGTTTACATATTCTTTAAGTTATCAAACCATGTTCTCTGCTTGTCTACTCTTAGGACAGCATGGACTTGAATCTGATTAAGTTGTCATAAGTAAAACTTTTTAATTCCTTAGCAGTATAATTAGCCCTCTTGTCAAATATACCATTTGCTATGTTGTTTGTTACATGCAGCTGTTATCAACAACAGTTATAATAGATGTCATAAATGAGACAAGGATTACCTCCAGCTATTACCAACCACCCAGTGTGTTAGCAGTTCATTTGCATCTAGCACAAGATAACTTTATCATTTTCACCACTGCTAACATCACTATTAGGTTAAAGAATTGGCAAGATTCTTGTTGTCCTCTCTGTGTGTTACTGGTTCAAACATGCCTTATCAAGTACAGCTTTAATGTTGAGTAAGTAATGTGTCATCTATAGCCCATTTCTCCCTGGGGACTCAAAGCACTTAGGATATTAGGTACACTCAATTGTACCTACCAGCATGTTTTTCGATAGTGGGGGGAAACTCAAGCAAGCACAGGGAGACCATGCAGTCCTGGTTGAGATTCAGAGCAAGGACCCTGATTACACAAGGCAGAGGTGCTAACCACTTGGCCTCATGTACACTTGATGTTTTTACAGCTGCTGTTTTTGGCGATAGGCATTTTTTTCTGCAGTCAGTAAACTCCTGAGCATGTTATCCTATGTGTCCATGCACACATAGGCTTTTATCGGCATTTTTTGGCAGGGGCGTTTTCAGGCTGGAAAAAAACCCCAAGAACTACTGTGTTTAAAGAGGAGTTTCTCAGCTGTAATCACTCTAATGATGAAAACCGCTTACAAATGCAGCAAAATGAGACTATCTGGCATTTATGAGTGTTTTTGAGACTCAGATTTTTTTTAAAATGTATATATTTAAATGGCACAGGGTGCGGGTACAGATACAAAGTGCCAAAATAATAGAGCAGAGTCAGTGCTGCAGTACTCTGCTCTATTATTTTGGCACTTTGTATCTGTACCCGCACCCTGTGTTTTTACCATGTTTGCTCAATAAATACCTGAAGTTACTACACTATTGGCACCCCCCCTTTTTTGGCTCCTATTGGAGGAGCTATTATACCCACAGTACATCTAGTATCCAGAGGAGGGAGCCCTGCATTCAAGCTGTATTCACACATCCCTAAAGGAGACCTCTGGATCCAGCAGAGTGATACTTCATCCAAGCTTGATGACCATTCTTCTGAGGGAAACCCTCCACTCCATTTGGCGGTTACATTTATGCGCATTTCCTATGCGCACTCGGTGAGTGTGCACTTCTGCCATTTGTTTCCTGTCACAAGCTTTTAGACATACGCGCTGTTGTGGATATTTCCAGTGGTGTCATTTACTAGAGGCCATTGAGTGAACAAATTATTCTGAACGAACTTTGATTCATTTACCTTATTTATTTATTTATTCATTCATCTATTTATCCTTTGTTAGCGCTGCACTTCATTTACTCTTGCTTTCATTATCTGACCTGTGCTGCGTGCAAACAGGAATATTTCCCTAAGTCCTTTTCTGCCTCATTGTCTCAGCTGACTGAACTGTGTGCAAACAGGACATTCCTTTTATGGACATATGAAGGATACACAACAGGATATCACAGGATGGGTCCAGAATCATCATCGATGGCTGCTTCTCTCCTCCAGCTGTCTCTGTCTCCTCACCATCCTTATCAAAATCAGTAACACAGCTTCTTCAATTTTCTACATTACAGGATCCCTAATTGATGCAGCAAGAAAAAGAAATATAGATCCTTAACAACACAGTGCTTCCTCTGCTTTGAAAATGGTGACTAAACAACTACACAATGACTATTCAGTGATGCATTGTGGGAAAGAGGAGTTAAAAATAGTGCATTGTTTTCTTGCTAAAAACTGGTAATGAAAAAAGTTGCAAAATGCTGCAAAACTCACGTTTTTAAAGTGAGAATGCTACTGGCTTTTTTATACATCCAGTGTAAATGAGGCCTTAGTGGTTTGCACAATGGCTTAGTGGTCTACTCTTCACAAAAAATATTGGAGGGTCAAGCTTTATTGATATAGCTGAGCCCTTATAAATTTCCTTTGGTCTTCGCAAAAAGCTTACAAATGCTGCACCTGAATTAACCCACATTTCATGATTATGGTCATTTGTGACATTATTTGCTGTAAGTTTATGACACTAGGTGCCAATATTGTTGATATTTTAAATGTAATAAAGTTGTTTGACCTTCATTTCTGCAGTGACTTTTTGGATCTGCCATTTTACAAAAAGTAATGATCTGTGAGACATGCTAAGTGCATGAACTAACCAGGCCTACCTAAACAGGTTACAGGTAAAGACTGTAGCCCTCTTTTTCATTAATATAAATGGCAAATACACTGGTATCAGAAGCATGTATTTCCTTGGCATATAACAGCACTTTTTAAGCTAAGGCCCTTTGCTCTGCCACTACAAAAGTTAGGATAGGCTCTGCAAAAAGCCAGCACAGCAAAGTTTCCTCATCTATTCTACACGAACACTAATCAGTCTCAAAATATCTTTTTAGCAATTTGCCAAACTGGAAGTGTCCTGCTAAAAGAGTCACTTCTGCAATTTATGTAGATATTGACCTATGTGCTTTCTTTGTGGAACAATAAAATCTCTATAATGACACAAGAACCCCTTTACCATTGTTAGTAAATCTAGATGAGTATTTGATTTAGGACTACCTGGAGCAGTTGGTGAGCAAATATCTGTAAACGTTTGAGCCCATGACACAGTTGTCAGCACTGCACTTTTCTGCTCTATCACTTTTGTTTGCTTCTAGGCCAGTGATGGCGAACCTTTTTGAGCCCGAGTACCCAAACTGCAACACAAAACCAACTTTTTTATTTCAAAGTGCCAACACTGGAATTAATCACTTGCCTACCGGGCACTTCTACCCCCTTCCTGCCCAGGACAATTTTCAGCTTTCAGTGCTGTTGCACTTAACAATGACAATTGTGCGGTCATGCAACACTGTAACCATATGCAATTTTTATTATTTTTTCACACAAATAGAGCTTTTTTGGTGGTATTTAATCACCACTGGGTGTTTTATTTTTTGCACTATAAATGAAAAAAGATCAAAAAATTAAAAACATAAAAGGTTTCCTTTGCTTCTATTCTAAAATTTTGCAAACAGGTAATATTTCTTCTTTGATGTGCGTTGGTGTGGCTGCACTGATAGGCAGCACTGATGGGCATTGATGAGGCGGCACAGATAGGTAGCACTGATGAGGCGGCACTGGTGAGCATTGATGAGGAGGCACTGATGATGCACTGATATGCAGGAAATGATGGGCACTGATAAGCAGCACTGACTGATAGCACCAACTGGAGGCACTGACAGATGGCACTGACCGGCGGCACTGCTGGGCATCATTGATGGGTGGCACTGATGGGCAGCACTAATGAGGTGCCACAGATAGGTGGCACTGATATGCGGCACTGATTGGTGGCGCTGATAGGCGACACTGATAATGGGTACTGATAGACAGCACTGATAGGTGGCACTGACTGACATCACTGCTGGGCACTGACTGGCGGCACTGCTGGGCACTGACTGGCACAACCGCTGGGCACTGACTGGTGGCACTGACTGGCAGCACTGCTGGGCTGCACTGATGGGCACTGGTGGGTGGCACTGGTGGGCACAGGTGGGTTGGCACAGGTGGGTGGCACTACTAGGCACAGGTAGTTGGCACTTCTGGGCACAGGTGGGCGGCACAGGTGGGCACAGGTGGGCACACTGCTGGGCACAGGTGGGTGCATTGCTCGGCACAGGTGGGCGCACTGCTGGGCACAGGTGGGTGCATTGCTGGGCACAGGTGGGCGGATTTTGTGTGTGGCACTGCTGGGCACCGATCATCAGGGCACTGATGATCAGTGACCCTGATGATCGTTGCCGTTCCCTGCTCTGACAACTGCCGGTTTTCGGCAGTACTTTCCTCACGATCTGACAGCGTGAGGAAAGTGCAGCCGAGAACCGGCATTTGCATTTCCCGGTGATCAGCGTGTCATTGGACACGGCTGATCACGTGGTAAAAGGCCGCTGTGATTGGCCTTTTACCACGTCACATGATCAGCTGTGTCCGTAGGACACAGTGATCACGGAAATCGCCCGGTGCGCGCCCCCGGGGGTGCGCAGGAGAGCGCGTTCTTCCTCTTCTTCCTGGCATGCCCACTGAGATGGCTCTGCGTGCCAGCTCTGGCACCCGTGCCATAGGTTCGCCATCACTGTTCTAGGAAGTAAGATGATCTTTCTGAGATGACTACCAGACAGCAAGATAATTTACAATAAATTCTTTGCTAGTTACTCTAAATTGTTCATGTTGTGCTGCATTGTCCTCACACTAGGCCACTCTAGGTAACTTCATCTTCACCAGAAAAATTTTGACCACTGAGTTAATGCTGGAACATCAGCAGAGCTCCAACTAAAAACACAAAAGGGGAAGTTCTGCTTTAAATACTGGTCCCCCCAGCTCCCCATAAGGAATTGATACCTTTGAGAAGCGTGGGGGGGGGGGGAGAAGCGAGTATCCGATTTTGACAGGTACCCTCTCCCACTTCAGCTTTGATCGCCTACTGTATGTGATAGGAAGCAAAAGTTGTTCACCCTCCCTGTAGTCTTCTGGAACATGTCTCAGAAGACTACGGGCCATTCACAAAGCTCAGCGCTACTCGCACATGCATAGTGGACGCCTGATTGTGAAACCACAAGCTGTCACAGCCAGGTGCCCACACTTGGGATGCCGCCGGTACCGGGGGGGAGAGATCGGCTGGTGAAGTTGGCTGCGGTGAGTACATCTCTGGATTGTGGGACAAGTGAATGGCTGTTTTTTAAAAGTGATCAGCTACAGTTTTTGTAGCTGCTGACTTTTATTTTTTTAGGTTTGACTGGAGCTCCGCTTTAACCACTTCAATACCGGGCACTTATACCCCCTTCCTGTCCAGACCAAATGTCAGCTTTCGGTGCTGTCGTATTTTGAATGACAATTGCATGGTCATGCAACACTGTACACATATTACATTTTTTAATTTTTTTTTTTCACACAAATATAACTTTCTTTTGGTAGTATTTACTTTTTTTCTTTGCTAAATAAACGAAAAAGACTGCAATTTAAAAAAAACAAAAACGTGTTTTTCTTCATTTCTGTTGTAGAATTTTTCAGATAAATAGTCTTTCTTCATAAATTTAGGCCAAACTGTATTCTACTACATTTTTTTGGTGAGAAAAACCCCAAAGCAGTCCACAAACTATGGTTTATATAACTGAAAATCAATCAGTTCTGATGTACTGACAGCCTATGTAATTCCTCTGGCTCAAAAATTCCAGGACAGTACAAATATCCCCTAAATTACCCCTTTTTGCAAAGTAAACAGTCCAAGGTATTTAGTGAAAAGCATAGCAAGTTCTTTGAAGTTGTCATTTGTTGTCACTTTTTTTGGAAAATGAAGAAATTTAAAAAAAAAAATGTTTTTTCACAATTTTTTTACATACTGTGTTCAGTGCAGTACAGCGTCATCATATAACTGGTGTGGCGATGATCAGGGACACTGACTGGTGACAGTATGTAAAAAAAAAAAAAAAAAAAAAATTTTATATATATTTACATTTATTTTTATTTTGGATATTATAATAAGCAACATGCAAGAACTGCAGACATAAACGCCGTATTTGTGTTATGACAGTAACAACAATCGAAGTATAATATACAATACAACTGGTCCTTAATGTAGATATACATGAAAAAGAACATTTTGTCCTATAAAAGTAAAGTGGTAGTACAAGGTATCACTCATGTAAGAGAAGAAGGAAGAAAAGGAACTAATAAGAGTGGTGTTACATATAAGATAGTATAGGCTATAAGTGCGGTCATAGGGAGGAGATCCATCAAACACGACATTTAGAACCATAATCAGGCATTATATCAGGTAAACCAAGGTTTCCAGGATTTCTCAAATGTGTCAGATTGAACAACTAGTAGTCAGGGGCAGACCTTTTGGAAACTCGGGCCCCCCGGGGTCAGTAGGGGGCCCATAAGATGCCCCTGGTACCTTTTTCATAGGCTTTTTTGAGTTTGGGCAAGGACACAGAGGCCCCATGATCTCCTATTGCCCGGGGGCCCAATGAGTTGTCAGTCCACCCCTGCTAGTAGTCTTTCATATGAGAAGTGTTGTTGGGTGGTATAAACAGCTTCTGACGGATTAGGGGCTAGTTCTTTTTTCCAATTTCTTGTAATGATTAGTTTAACTGATAACAGGAGGTTGGCAATAGTTTTGCGATAAGGAGAAGGAAAATATTCTATTCCTAAATTCAAAATAGACAGACCAGTATTTGGGGTAGTAGTCCGACAGGATTTGAAATATTCTTACCCGTAGAGCCACAACCTGTTTTAGACAACTTGTATGGTGTAAGATACCATCTCGGGTTTATTTTCAAGGCCAATTCCCATTGGTTCACACAGTAATATTATATGCGTATCTTATGGCATACTGCCATTGAGAGCTGGTGAAGGACATATTGAGATCTGTCTACCAATTGAGAATGGGATTATTCTTAATAAATTCAGGTTTATTATGTAATTAATTGTATAATTAATTAATTGTATATTAGAGATATACCTTTTTGTGGTTTCTTGAGGCACGTTAGGAAATGTCACACTTTAGGGTGAAGGTAAACCCTGAGTAATGGATGAGATGCTAAAAAGTGTCTAATGTGTAGTAAAGTGAAGTAAGTTGTGCGAGGTAAATTAAATGAAACTTATTTATTATGGCTTCAAGGATTTCAGGATTACCATCTGTAAGAAGTCCCTCAGCCCAGGAGATACCATATTTTGCCAAGTCGTGAACTCGTAGGTTTGGAATTAAAATTTGTGTATGGTTTGGAATTAAAATTTGGAAAAAAAAGTGTATGAATAGGAAATCGCACAATGTCAGCATGTGCGGAATGATGAATGGATTTGGTTAGTGTTCTCCAATCCAGGATAGACGCTTTTAATTTTTTTTCTTTTTATCACAATTATTCTCTTTTTTTCCAATTTTTTTTAACACACTGTGAGCATAGAAATACAGTGTTAGCATTGTACTACTATAGGGGAGTGATTGAGGGTTTTTTTTTTTTTACAAATCATGATTGCTTATACAAGTGAATTTCACTGTTATAAGCAACCATTTTTACTGAATGAAATTTATTCATTTATGGTTTACTACTGTGGTTAGCTGTGATTGGCCATAGCTAATCACATGGTACAGATGGGCTGTGATTGGCCCTGACTGTACTATGTGATCACTGTGACCAATCACAGAGATCAACACAATAGTACTCAATGGATGGCATGAATGAAAGCCATCCATTGTGTACAAGTGCCATTTGATCTTCTGTGATTGGTCACAGTGGCCGGTACCCTGACCGGTACACTGATCAGTCATCCACTCTGTCCAATGGACACAGCAGGTGACAGGTCGCTCCAAAAGTGCGGCCCATGTGGTGTGCGCAAAGTGCGTTTCGGAAGGACGTCATATGATGGTGAATGTTTCACCCGGCCATAATTTGTCTATAGACCAGTCAGAAACTGGTTAAAGTAGATGTAAACTATAATAATACACCTCTCATTGTCACTTGCTTTTGCTTTGTTGAATATACTATTGAACTGTAGAATGCCTGTCTGAAAAACTACAAAAAAACCTTGCTAATCCTGGCAGAAATCCATTGAGCATGTAACTTCCTGTGTACAGTGCCCCAGCTGCACTGAAATCTCAAGCGGTGTTGTCCATTGCTCCCAACAGTCCCTCATGTAGAGTGGCTGTCCCACTTTTGGAATCAAATTCCTCTAACCCTCTTTCATCCTTCGGCATCTGATTTTTGTTCTGAGGTATAAATCTCTATTAAAAAAAGTGCATTTTTTAATTAAAGGAAGTGTTATACTTACTAAACTTTCTTCCAAATTCTAAATGTTGCACACCCCCAAGGAACTGCCGGGGAAACTGATACTTTTTCTCCAAGATTAGTGGACACACAGCCAGGCACATAACATTTTCCACTTTCACTGGCTCCAAAAGAACAGTCTAGGGGTGTCTTTTGATACTTTATTGGAAAGCTGATTTTGGTAGGGGTGAAGTGAGCATGGGATATCCCAAGGAGAATAATCTCAAGGAGAGGAGTCTTTGTGGACTCCTCTCTCCCTCTAAGCTGCACAAAAAAAAGCCCACATGACTCTCTGCTGCTAACAGGTGACTGTATCTTCTTTCTAGAAACCAAGAGCTACACACAGTTACTAAGGCCCCACGCTCGGGTTGTTTACTGAGGATGCCACTGGATCGCCTGGTTTCCCCCCAGTTTCATCCTGGTATTCTCCAGTGAGCTTCTAGAGACCTAAATCGACTCCAGGACTAGACTTAGCAAATAGACCCCTCCGCTTAAGCTCCAGCTGGGACCTCAATATCTTCTGAATGGCACCTCAAACAATCCTGCCACAAGGGCAAAGCCCCTGCACAGGGGTCTCCTCCAACAGAACTGGACCCAGGAACTCCTCACCCCTGATTCAGGCCCCCAACTATTTATGGGCTCTCCAGCTACCTACTGCACACGCCTCCCCAGGGATTGGCTGGATCCCCATAAATATTCAGGCTGCTTCTCTCATTTTTCCTCCCACTATAATTCTAGAATCCTCTAGAATACAGGGGGTAGCAATAAGAGCAGCAGCCTATGAGACACCGAGCAAGGCAGAATAATCAACCCCTGTTTCACTGATTACAGAGGAGCATTACATAATTTTCCTAACCACCTGCATTAACTAGAAGGGTGCTACATAAATGATTGCATTTTTTATTCTTAAAAAAAAGGCATATAAAGAAAATGTAACAGTGAAAAAGGCACTTGTATTATAGATTTTTATGTATTAAAGTGGAACTAAACCCTCCTATCCTTTACAGCCAAGGAAGTTACCACCTTAGCCTCTGTGTGATTTGCAGTTGCCATGGTTCTTAGTTATGACAG